AGACAGCAGTCGGTATAAGATATGAAAATAAAAATAATTTTCAATTTATCAAAGGGTCACGGGGGTGGGAGGATGAGGGAGGGAAAAAAGAGGAGCTGATACCATGGGCTCAAGTAGAAAGACAAAGCTTTGCAAATGATGATGGCAACATATGTGCTTGATGCAATTAATGTATGGACTGTTATAAGCTGTAATAGTCCCAAATAAAATGATTTATTAAAGTAGAGAGAGAGAAAATGACCAAGTTCATTACAAAGAATGATTAAAGTCACCAGTTATCTTAGATTTTTGTGTTAGGAGGTGGACTAAGGGTCTATGAGCTGAAAAGAGGTGAAATCCCAGGAAGTGGAAGGCAAGCTGCCTTCCAGATCTGTAAGAGACCATAGGAAAAGGAGGGGGAGGGAAAGAGAAGGAATGGGACTGGTCTGACTTACTTTTACCTCCCCCTTCTCCTTGATTTACTAATCTGCTTGGTGGTACAATGTAAGTGCTCGACTGCCAATTCAAAGGGTGGTGGCTCTAACCCACCTTCTGTTCCACAAGGAGAAAGATGCTTCAGTCTGTTCCCATAAAAATCTACCACCTTGGAAACCTTATAGGGCAGTTGTATCATATCCTATATGGCTGTTATGTATCAAAATCAGCTTGATGGCAATGAATTTGTTTGGTTTTGCTTTAATGTAAGAACTGATGGACTGCATTTGGGATCAATCAGTCTTATTAATGGAAGGTGAGTTACATTAGTGAGATCTATGAGGAGCTGCCACATGAAGACAAAGAGATTTTCTATGTCCACCTGAGATAGTTTATTGTGCCAGCCTGGCCCATAAACACAAGTGGGATTAACTGAAGGGCAGAGAGATAAATGGCTTGGTGAACCTCACCTTTCTTGTTTCTCGCTCTTTGATCATCGGACCAGTGTGCGGCTGCCTTGCTTGTTCTGTGGCTCAATTTATAGGGTACACTACCTGTGGGACGCCTAGCCTGTGAACTGTGTCTCTGTAAGTTGAG